TCTATGTTGTCTCTTGATGTCGCTTTGCTTATGATAGCTCGTTCTTGTTGATGGTGGAAATGCAACGGTCGCAACCATCTTTTTCTCAGACTATAGTAAATGACGTAACCCATGTATCTTGCTTGAAATTCATTTACATGCCCACTTAGCTTTCATTCATTTATTTCTATGTGTATTCCATGTAAATTTATGTGCAAAAATGCCTATTTTCCATCTTGCACTCTTCAGGCAATTTTTTGTTATCTAATTAACTACAGTTTTAATGGAACAAGCGGGTAAATGTGTTACAAGTCCCTAGTCATATCTGACCGTGATCCATCCAACCGCTTGCTTCATGGACAACGCATTTCTATATTCATTTATTGCAGTGGTCAACAGCGAAAGGACATAATCTGTATGGAAGTGAAAAACTGCAAACCCTATATGTTGCGTGGACCATTGGCAAGCTCTTGAGGAAAGTTCCCGTAGAGTTGATGCAGCGTAAATGGCCCTCTGCATATCCCGAATTCAAAAAGGTTCTTTTCTTCCTCGTTGCAACCATTAGAATCATCGGTCTTTTTTGTAGGAACTTGACCAGCCTAACACTTCTTGGAAGAAATTGCGAGATCTCCTTCTTCGACTGGAATGTGGAATGAGACGCACTCTTTTCTTACCGCAGTGGTGGAACAGTCTTGGCCATACTAGACTTACTCGGACTACCGTCGAAGACAGGGACCGCATGATGAGAGAAGCTCAAAGACGGAAAAAAGAAGAAAGAGTGAGTTTGATGTCCTTACTTGTACGTATATATGTAACATGTTACGTGAATTTTCTATTCAGGAAGCAATAGACGTAGAAGATGAGGATATAATCATTGTGAAGCATTCAAAATTGCCTCATGGTGTTAGCAGAGAACTGACTAGAATGCGGGTATGCAAGATTTTTGATATTCCTAACCTATCTCGCATACGCCTCCCTTTAGGATGAAAAATATCGTCTCTATGGCAAAGGGGCATTGGGTGGGTGGATGTGGATTTCACGCACACTCGTCAGGAAGATCCTTGATGATCCACCTTCGTTTGTCATTGGAAAACAACGGCAAGACAGGGTATGATTAGAGCAACATTCATAAACCGTTTTGTTCGTTTGTTGACTATTCTTCCTGCAACTTCCAAGTTTAGACAGATCAAGAGGCATCCTCTGTCGACATTGTGGCATCGAAGCTAATGCAATGGAGATTACAGCAGGAGGCGTCGAAGAAGAAGCAAAACTGCGTCTGCTATT